GGGGTTAAGCGAGTTGCACAAATCGAACAGCAACTGTAATTATTTTACAGCAAACCAAGCAAAGACACTACTCAGAGCCAACAATAACATAACTATCTTTAATTACAACGTCAGATCTTTGAGCAAACATTACGATGACCTCACAGTATTACTCAATTCCCTGCATACCAGTATGTCAATCATCACACTCACAGAAACCTGGCTAAAGCCTAGTACTACAGATGTCTATGACATTCCTGGTTACACAGCCATACACAACTGTAGGACTGAACAGCAAGGGGGTGGAACAGCTATATACTACTCAGATCAACTTGAATGTATCAATATTTCTTGCACAAGGGAAGAAAAACCACTTACTCACCCTAAACTAAATACTCAATACTCAGTATTTAACCTTACCAAACAATCTCCCAATTACCTAAATCTTAAAACTTCAAAACAAGATGCCCAAAGTTCATACACTGATTAATACTACATTGTAGTAAAAATACCTACCCAAAACAATACTGTCTTACACCCAACTGTAGCATTCTCATTCTGTAAACTACTTTCAACAACTCACAATGTTATATTCCCATAATATAATTTAAATACACCTACCATCCGACTTACGACCGAGTTCGGTTCCGAGAAACCGGTCATAAGTCGAAATGGTCGTAAGTCGAACTTTACTATTGAATATCAACATAACATTTTTGTAATGACTTTATTTAATTGTTTTATTTTGGTATTTCATGTTTTACTTTACTTTTTATGCTGTTAGTACTGTATTTTATACTGTAAGGTTTAGGATAAACACTGTGTACAACACAAATAGTTGTTTATTTCCCAGAAATTTGGCATAACAAACACGGTCGTAAGTCGAGTGGTCATAAGTCGAGCAGGTCGTAAGTCGGATGGTAGGTGTATTTATTATTGAAACTATTGTAATTTGAGTACAATTAATGTCTACTATAAATAAAAACAGATGCACAACTTAAACTACAATAAATTTATTTAGCATCAAGTAGTCTGTAAGCCATTAAATTAAGTCTGCCCATAATGCCTAGTGGTTCTCTTTGCACTGCAACTCAATACTGCAAAGAAATAAAATTTGTTTGTTTGTTTTGTTCATTTGTTATTAAGGAGATTTGTGCAATGTGGACTAAAGTGCATTCATTTGTGGAGGAACATCACCCTGAGAAAGTTGTTGCAATCCATGCTGGCAACTTTTACAATGGCAATGCCATGTCCCATTTTAGGCAAATCTTAGACGCCAGAAACAGAGCACTCTGGACAGTTATTTTGTGAGACAGGGGTCCAGTGACTCTCAGGCTGGTCCTAGTGGCATTAAAAAACAAAGGAGGGAAGTGATCCCAGATAAGGATGTGGTACCTAGAGTCTTTATGGAGGGGGATTCCCCTTCCAAAGAATAACTTCTGCCCTCTCCCCTCCTCCCTGTTTTCTATCCATCAACAACAGCCATCAATAAGGTATGCATCATGCTGAATGTTCATTCTTTTGTGCATGTAAATCTATCTTTAGGGTAAAAAAAAAATTTTTTTTGTTAATACTTCTGGGTGTCTGGAATGGATTAACTGAATTTACATTATTTCTTATGGGGAAAATGGTTTCCATTTTCACTAATTTCCGTTTTTACCAATCGCTCTGGAACAGATTAAACACGAAAACCGAGGGTCCACTGTACAGTAAAACCTTGATTAACCCACCCCAATTTAAAAGATTTTGGATTCAATGGACAAAACCTATGGCTAAATAACATTCAAAAGCAATGGACAAGGTATGTTAAAATGTTGAATTATTCATTATTTTTATGGCCCACTAGGAAAATTTGTTTTAAATTTAATGGACAAAGTCCATTAGATTAGAACTGTCCATTCTGGATTTAACAAAATCTGTTAAATCTGGAATTGTTGCAATCCTCTGGGTAAATTTATTTATAATTTAACAAAGTTTGGATTTAGCATACCAAGTCCTTTAATTCAATAATGGTCCCTTGCAGCTAATATCATGAAAAAAATTCTTATAATTCAAATTTAATGAATAATCAGCTTCTACAGACACATTTTCCCACTCCACTGTTCTGTTATATCCAGGGTTTACTGTACTATACATAATGATGCTTTATGAATATTAATATAAATATACATGTACTGAGGGTGATCAAAGGAGGTATTCTTTGTTTATGTGACATGAATATGCCAAGAAAAGGGATTAAATAATACTAATAATACTACTAATACTAATACTACTAATAATACTAATACTACTAATACTAATAATACTACTAATACTAATAATACTACTAATACTAATACTACAAATAATACTAATACTACTAATACTAATAATACTACTAATACTAATAATACTACTAATACTAATAATACTACTAATAATACTACTACTACTACTACTACTAATACTACTACTACTAATACTACTACTACTAATACTACTACTACTAATAATAATAATACTAATACTAATACTAATACTAATACTACTACTATTAATACTACTACTACTACTATTACTACTACTACTACTAATACTACTACTAATACTACTACTACTACTACTACTACTAATAATAATAATAATAATAATAATAATAATGATAATAATAATACTACTACTAATACTAATACTACTAATACTACTACTAATAATAATACTAATACTACTACTGATAATACTACTACTGATAATACTACTAATAATACTACTACTAATACTACTAATACTAATAATACTAATACTATTACTGATAATACTACTACTGATAATACTACTAATAATAATACTACTAATACTACTACTACTAATAATACTACTACTAATAATACTACTACTGATAATACTACTACTGATAATACTACTAATAATACTACTACTAATACTACTACTAATACTACTACTACTAATAATACTACTACTAATAATACTACTACTAATAATAATACTACTACTAATACTACTACTGCTACTACTACTACTACTACTACTACTGCACCAGCACCACCACCACCACCAACACCACCACCAGCACCACCACCAACACCAGCACCACCACCAGCACCACCACCAGCACCACCACCACCAAAACCAGCACCACCACCAGCACCACCAACACCAGCACCACCACCAGCACCACCACCACCAGCACCAGTACCACCACCAGCACCACCACCAGCACCAACCACCACCGCCACCACCAATATCAAAAGCAGAATTCCACTACCAAAGCTTTATAAAATACCATCTAAAAATACTGATGCCCATATTGCAGGGAAACCTAGAGTCAAGTTCCCAAAAGTAGCATCAGTGAGTTTCAAAGTCTTGAAGCAATACAGTATCATGCAGAATACTGTCTTGCTTCATATGTGAGCCAACTCTTATTTGCCAGGAGGAAATAAGGGCAACATGAAAAAATTGCAGATGATGAAACTGTCATCATCTCATGTGACTGACAGTCTAGTTATTTATAAGGACTTGTTTAAAGAACTTGGCAATTTGTGAGGTTAGTGCTATAGGTCTGTAGTTGAAAATTAGACACATGTGCAACATCTGGGTATCTTTATTGTAGACAATTTGCCATGCAGTAGCTATCAATATAAATTCAAGGACATAACTGGAAGATAAGAACTATATACAAAACATGAGGTATTCAGTCCCTAGGCCTTAGAATTGGTGCGAAGAGCACCGTAGTCATGAATCTGATTCTTCATGACTACTACTTCTGATTCTTCACACTAATTCAAAGGCTGAAGGACTGATTACCTCATCTTTTGTATAAAGTTCTTTTCTTCCAATTATGTCCTTGAATTTGTATTGATGAAACCACTGGATGGTGAAACGTCTACAATAAAGATACCCAGATGTTGCATGTGTCTAATTTTCATCTTGTTGTTATTGTATACCATTCATGTACAGGTCTGAAGTTTTTCACAATTGCTGTTCTCTACTGCCACCTTTGTGAAGTGCATCCAGGTTCCTTTTCCATGGAATATTAAATGTCCTGGATAATAATGAATATGGAATTCCATGAGTCTAGACCTAGGGCAGAATGAATGGAAATGTTATCAGTGAGTTCATGAAAGTCGACTGGGGATAGGGCTACATTAGTAACTGTGGAGATGTCATCTGCATTTTGAGTATCATTTATAAACAACTCATCAGAGTTGTTGATCTACAGACTGACGAATGGTTCTGAATACTAAGTCCTACTGTGACTTTGGTATTTCACTTTTTTTTTTTTATTGTCATCAGTATATTTTCCATCTCCTTTAAGTAAGGGCTGTATAATGGATGTGGTTTTTTCACCCTGGATTTTGCATACATGAAAAAGCATTCGGAATTTCTTCTTTACATGCCTCAAAGTCTGCTGCTTGAAGCTCTGTTATCTGTCATCTTCACCTAGATAGTTGCTACTTACCATAAAATACTGTACATCACACAATCCTCAAATTAACTTTTTTTTTTTTCAGATGAATGTTTATACTATATGAAAAATTACAAGTTATCAACAGCAATGCTATTAAATCACATCTTTCTTTCGACGCACCGGCCGTATCCCACCAAGGTGGGGTGGCCCAAAAGGAGAAACAAAAGTTTCTCCTTTTACATTTAGTAACATGTACAGAAGGGGTTACAAGCCCCTTGCTCCTGGCATTTTAGTTGCCTCTTATGACACGCATGACTTCTGTTTCACTTCCCCAGGGAGAAATTAAATCACATATGTCATTAAAAAATGTGTTCTAAAGAAAACAAAAGTCAATTTCCACTATGACCATAATCTTTTGAAATAATTATAAACAAACACTGTTCAGCATGCTTAGCAACTCTTAAAATCAACATTGGTTTATATTTCTTCCCAAAAATCCTGCACATAATTGTAAGTTATTTAATTTGTGAACAAATATTTAGCTCAACCTTGGAACACTTACATACTTTCTGTAAAATAAGTGTTTTATTATTATTATTATTATTAGTATTACCTTGAACAATGTAAGAGGCCATGAGCGCAGCAGTGTTGTCATTGCACATAAGCCAGCCATGGGCAAGGTCTCGCTTGATCTGTAATGCGAAGAGGTAGCGAGTGTACTCTTCCTCCAGCTGGGCAGGGTCAGGAGTGTAAAACTTGACACAAAACCGCAACACTGGTTCTACTTGACTCAAACAAACCTGTTGACAATGTTTTCCATGTTATTCTAATACAAAAAGAATTAAGGCCACTCATAAATAATAATTTAAATAATTGTAATAAGCACTGTAACTGAAAATTTTAGAGGATAATCTATTTTTAACCTTGCAATAAACATGCAAGGCAACCTGTAGTTTACCTTTAATTTATTTCAGGGTCACTGACCTCACAGCCTAGTCCCAGACCAAGCTTCCTGGTTGACAGCTTGATCAATCAGGCTGTTGATGCTGGCTGCACATAGTCCAACATAGGTGCTACAGCCTTGCTGATCAGGAACTAAGTGAACTTATACTCCCTCATAAAGACAGATGTAAGTCTGCTGGTAATTCCCCTATGATATTAGGGGAGGGTGTTGATAAGTCTCGAGTCCTTAACATTTACAGTATTATTGCAACCCTGCTCTTCGCTGAGGCTACAGTTCTTTGCCCCGTCTACCAAGCTCCTTGCTCTTGTAGGGAATAATTTTGTTATCTAGGTTTGGGACCAATCATTCCAGAATTATTTAAAAGTAAATTATGATGTACACTATCTTAACCCCTATATTCCAGGGGGTATGCTTCAACAAGCATCAGACATTACCAATAATTCAAGTACATACGACACCAAATTTATGTATTAAGTGAAAGCTCTCTCTACAGTCTCCATATCTGTGATTTCACTCGCCTTAAAAAGGAGCTACAAGTGTAGAGCGATATTCCAGTCTATAGAGAATGAGTGACAAACAATATCAGTGGCCTGGCATTTCTTGCTTTGAAGTTCCAGTGAGATTCTTGACCCTAACATTTGTCATTTTCACTCTCAGTTCTTCAAAGCCTAAGAGAAATCGTGAAGTGTTCCCCATCAGCAAAAAAGTGCTAATTCTCGAATTATTAGGCATAATTTATAAATTAAACTTTATCATAGGTATGTATGTCAACAAAAAATTACTTTAACATAGGGTTCACTACCATCCGCAGTGTCGGGTATCTGCGGTAGGTCTTGGATACAGGGGTCCTACCCTACTGTATTTCTGGATCAACAAGTAATGTCATCTATAATGTAAGGTGTCAAAATCTCTATTACTTTTGATGAAATAAGAAATTTAAAAAATATGTTTGGCTTTTTTGAGGGTCCTAGGAGCATAACCTTATTTTCCTGTATGTTCTTCAGTTAATTAGATGCCATTTTCAGGAACATAACTAGACTTAATAGACAATCCACAAATTCAAACCCTGCTGTAAAGTAAATATTTGCCTAACTTTAACATCCTTCTTTTTATATTATCCAGCACATATTTTGTCCATTCTGAAATATGAAGAACCATTGAGAATTATCAAATTGTAGCCTTTCCAATGATAGGTTGAATTCTTTTTCTTCACCTTGACCAACTATTATGATTCTCTCACCCTTAACAGCTATTATGATTCTCTCACCCTTAACAGCTATTACAATTCTCTCACCCTTAACAGCTATTATGATTCTCTCACCCTTAACAGCTACTATGATTCTCTCACCCTTAACAATTATTATGATTCTTTCACCCTTAACTACTATGATTCTCTCACCTTAACTATTATGATTCTCTCACCCTTAACAACTATTATGATTCTCTCACCCTTAACAACTATTATGATTCTCTCACCCTTAACAACTATTATGATTCACCCTTAACTATTATAATTCCCTCACCCTTAACTATTACGATTCTTTCACCCTTAACAGCTATTATGATTCTCTCACCCTTAACAGCTATTATGATTCTCTCACCCTTAACAACCATTATGACTCTCTCACCTTTAACAGCTATTATGATTCTCTCACCCTTAACAACTATTATGATTCTCTCACCCCCTAACAACTATTATGATTCTCTCACCCCTAACAACTATGATTCTCTCACCCCTAACAACTATTATGATTCTCTCACCCCTAACAACTATTATGATTCTCTCACCCTAACAACTATTATGATTCTCTCACCCCTAACAACTATTATGATTCTCTCACCCCTAACAACTATTATGATTCTCTCACCCCTAACAACTATTATGATTCTCTCACCCCTAACAACTACTTGTATTATGATTCCCTCACCCTTAACTATTATGAATCTCTCACCCTTAACCACAGCCCACCCCTGCCCCAGTGCCTTCCCACCAAGATGACCTCTTCCTTGCCTAACAATATGGACCTGCCCCTCCCCAACCTCTCCCCTTTCTAGTTAACTGACAAACAACATGCAGCAGCTTCTCACCTGTCTGTTCATAGGCTTCTCGAGGTCAAGCCAGTAGCGAGTGTTACCATCGGTGTATTCA